CGCTGTGGAAGGGCCGCGCATGTGCTCATGCGTGCGTTTAACTACGGCATGTCATCGAGGTTGCAGTGCGGACTGAGACCCCGATGGCCGTCGACTGTGTGTTTAGCTAATCGGTGGCTGGGGGCGGTGAGAACCGCCCTGGAACAAGGGTGTACCTTGTGTACGCGTTGTGTTGGTCTCGCCGTGCTCGGAGGCGAGGGCGAACTCTTGTGTTTGTTGTTACTCTAGCTGTGGGTGTAGTGTTATCCGGCGGGACCACCGACGGTGGGTCCGGCGTATCTAAGTCCACTTCCTCGACCGGGTCGATGAGGTCGTTTCGCGGGCGACGCTTGTTGACGTTCGCGTTTGTGTCGGGTTGGTAATTTGCTGCGCTTAACCACCAGAGGGTTGGGATGGTGTTCGGCTCTGTCGAAGAACCGTTTGTTCAGGTCCTTAAAATATTCGCGAATCATCGGGAAGACTAGTGTACCACACAAGACATCTGACGGGTCTACTAGTTTATATTTAAATTCTAATAAAAAAAATTCTCGTATCACCGTGTTTGTAATCGAACTCCTCCGAAACGGCTTGACCGATTTTCGTGAAATTTTGTGCATATCGGCCAGGGTAGAGCGGACAACATCTATTTTTCATCCCCCTAAATGGTAAGGGTTGTCCACCCCAAACATTATTTTCTACGCTACAACCAATTTATATCAGTTTCATATAAAACTGGTCGAAATAATTAATTTATCTTAACTATTGACAACCAACATTACAATTAACGTGTCAAGTCGTTATTTATGTAGAGTATGTTAGTGTTTATATAATTAATGAAAATATATATAGTTTCTGCAAAACAAAATTGAAAATTTGTATATCAATTTTTTTTTAATTTATTGTAGTGCTAATCTCTGCACTTAAGATTGTACAATATATAGAAAAAGTACGAAAAGATTGTCGAGAAGTTGATTGACAAAAAGAGTGTTGAAAAATTTGTATATAATTTGTTACCGAGTTGTGTAAACAGAAATATAATGAAAACAACAACATCAAAAAGAGATGACTCAAACGAATACCACTCAACTGGTAAATAATACTATTTTTAGGGTTTCATCATTTCATCCGGATTTTAAATTTATGTTGGCTAATGTATGTGTATAAATTGTTAAGTTTAAGTTTATATATATATATATATATGTATATATATATATATAAACTTAAACTTAACAAGTTTATATATATATATATGTATATATATATATATATATATATATATATATATATATATATATATATATATATATATATATATAAACTTAAACTTAACAATTTCATCGGTGCCGGTGCAAGTTCCGATTTGATCTCAGTGTATATATATATATATATATATATATATATAGCTCACTAAAGAACCATGTGAAATCGTTTATTAAACCAAGTTTATATACTAAATTGTTATTACATTTTCGCACAATATTTTACTTATTTCGCAGTTAAAGGGGAACGCTGTAAAAAGGTCAACTTTACGAACTATATGGACGCAAAACTTGGTCATAGAAATTTTGCGTAAGCAAGTTGGCATAAATAAATTACATCAATTTGAAAAACAATTTCGAATTATTGCCTCGCACAGATAATATATTACTTGAACTAAAGTCAACTAAGAAATTGAAACTGGCCTGTTCCCACATTTACTGATCTTTCGGAAACAAGTTTGTTAGACACACGGAACCTTCAAAGTCCGAAATGACAAAATTTTCAACAAATGTTAGTATTGTGTTTTACGCTAAAGATGTAGCTATGTATTATATAAGAATACGATTATATAAGAAACAAGCACTTTAGATTTTTGAATAAAGTATTTTAACGCAAAATAAGTCAATCTGGGCGACCTACCGCGGTTTCCTTGTATCTTAATCATTATTTTTACTACATCACCCATTATACCTACCAACGTAAGCCTCAACCCTTCTATCCTGGTAAAGGATTCGTGTGTTTCGAAGTTAGCAGTGTAAAGCTATAACTTTGTCTCGTTATGAAATAAAATATTCATTATCTGAAGTACTTATTCTGAAATAATACAAATTGTTCTTTGGATCTACACTATTATGAAAATAATTTAATTGATTATAAAAATATTACGAATACTATAGAAAGTCTCCCGCAAAGCCGAAAGTTTTTGTTTATTTATCTACAAAAAATTACAATTTAAAGTGACTACATATAAATTTGTTTTCAGAGATGATTCATCCTAATATAATGGCAAAAAATAAAACGGGCTATATAATTTATCTTGCGTAAAATATAAAAAGACACTTACGTAAGAGAACAGAAAAAAATACGTCATAATTTCAACACTTTTCTTATACAATATAAATTGCAAAGTACAATTCTAAATATTTTGGAGTCAATAATAGCAGACGATGATCAGTAATCTACCGATATATAAATACATGAAAAATGTAAGCCGTGAATACATTATTAAATATAACTAAGACTTTATATTTAAAATTCGTTTTATTACACAAGACTGTTCAATTATGAAATTTAACGTAATTTAGGCTGTACTTAAGATATTTTTCAATAAATAAATATTATGTCTTTATATTTAGTCTATAATTTTTACGTTTTCGATATTTCAAATACTATCTTCAATAACAAGTTACCAGAATTTAATACATCTGTTCGCACTCAAGCCTAGACAACTGTAGTGTCTCTACCTAGGGCACTATAAGATAGTATATGTATGTCGTGTTTCAACGAAGATCCAGCTCTGGTCTTCAGGTCTTTTTCTTATCGAATAATCTTTTTCACTATATAATACAATTTATGTCCAACTGTCTTAAGTCCAAGCAAGACCGGCGTTAATTGGAAATGTTACTTCTGCGTTTCGTCTGGTGAATAAATTAATCGGGATCCATTATTTTAGAAGGTGGCAACGTATCTGCAACACTACTTGTGTTGCAAACGTCAATAGGCGGCGGTTATCACTTAGCATCAGTTGAATCACCAGCTCGCACGACAGCTGATGACATGTTGGTTTCTGATGATACTGATTATTATAAATAAAAGGAACTAAACTTATTAGACAGCCCACATCCAAATGAACTATCTCTCAATCGATCTACTAATACTCATTACAAGGCAGTAGACCGCATCACACGCTATAATCAAGTACAAATATATAATTTGTACTTTATAGCTTTTTTTTATGTGAAAAGTTGCCAAACGAGCAGAGGCTCACCTGATGTTAAGTGAATACCGCCGCCCATAGACATCTGCTACACCCGAGGGTTTGCAGATGCGTTGTAAACCTTTTGAAAATTGGGCTCCGGCTACCTCACTTACCACACGAAACGCGAAAGTATTATACTTCTACTTTACGCCGGTCTTCTGTGAGGTCATGCTGCTTACCCGGACGAGCCTGCCCACTCGTGCAACAGCCGAGGCTGCTGGGTGGCTCTACCACCTTCTTCTTCGTGTCAACAGTTAGAACAACGTAGATAAAATCAACACCAGAAGGCATCTTCCAAGCAACGGTTGCTACGTCTTAATACATAAATCTGGAAAGAAGTTAATTATATAAATATCTCTAATATTAAAAAAATTATAGATCACACCGGTTTTAAAATAATAAATTAAACCCAAGACTACGGCTATTAATCCCCTAGGTTCAGTACTGAGAAAGCGGTCTCATGAAATCAGCAAAATCGTTTGAAAAAACCTACATTACATTATATTCACGCGAATTAAGCTTCTACTGCCTAGACATTACGAGCTAAGAGTAACTTTGTCCTTAATATTTCGCGAATCAAATTGCGTTGATATCTATACACTTAAGAAAATCTTTGGCGACAAAAAAATAACAGCTACAATACACATACTTTCGATTGCATTCAAAATGTATTATAAATATGTATAAATTTTAAAAAAATGACATAAAAACCGTAAAAAGCTGTAAAAGAGGAATTATAAATAAATATAAAATAATATAGTATCATTAAAAGTTCATTAAGGTATACTAAGCATGCATACGCCAATAATTTTATGGGAAAAGGAAACTAAGAAAAAAATACCAGATCATTATATAGTTTTCAATCAAAACATTATCATTTTTAAGTGGTAGGTATAATATATAATAAAAAAGGTTAGAGCTTGCATACAATAATCACAACAGTTTCCGAGATCATTAAAAATCTAACAAGGCGTAGTATCCAGATTCAAAAATCTCGGAGTTCGAACATAATCCCGCGCTTTTACTCTACCACAGATACGGAAAGTGTAGAAGCAAAACCCCCCAAGACTTTCGTCTAACTAATTTTCATTATAATTCTCGAACACGGTTCACGATACGCTAGCGCTGCCAATGTTTCCTCCAACGTTTTTATCTCTCGCCTCTTTGACTTTACCCGTATTCGACCCCACCAAACGACAACGACCCTATACCCTCGAGAATAAAGCACCGAATCCCGCAGCGTTCACGCTCGCCCGAATTTTGGACTCATTAAGCGGGCATTCGGGTATTTTGGATTCGGTAAACACGAATTCGAAGACTGAGAGATCCGACAGAATAAGCAAAGTTTCGTATCTTTCGGTTTGAATTTTTAATTCGTGACCAATATCAAATTTTAATGTTAAACTCGATCTAAATATGTGATCCCGTTAATATTCAATTTAATTTAATATTTTTATTTACCCGAAAATGTACGTTACTTATAAATTAAAACTATTTCCAATGTCACGTAACCATGGCTGAAAATTATTGTAACAGTCATGTCAGAATAGGGATATTTAAGAAGAAAATTAAACGCAATAAAATCGCTTTTAAATTTTAATAATCAAAAAATCCAACTTTCGAACGCTGCGAAAGCAGCAGTAGCCGATAATGCGGGGACGTGTTCGTAACGCATCGGCTATCAACAGCAGCATCGACTGCCACAGAACAGCGGAGGAGGCTGCTCAAGGCTAGAGTAGGTATATTCGGGCGTGTGTGAAATGCGGGCGACGGCCGGCGGCGGATGGCGGGCGCCGCGCGACTGTCAAGCGGACGGCGGGCGCTGGCGCGGCGGCTGACGCAACGCGACCTCTTTGTCCGGCCCCACGGACTCCCGCGGAATGTCCGCGGAGCCGGCCCCGCTCCGCGCTCGACTAATTACGAATGTCAAATGTTATCGCACGCAACCGTCCGCCGCGCCGTCCGCACTCCGCTGCGCCGCTCTTCATAATAATAAAACCTGATATTTAAAACGGAACGTCCTTCTAACGCCGTGTAGTTGCGCCGACGCCAATCTACGATAATAATAAGCCGGGGCGCCAAGATAGCACCCGCCTAAAGCGCCACAAAACTCCGTATTGTTAGACGGACGAGCGCTTTAAAGCGACTGCAGCGCAATCGAGACTCGATTCGCAGCGCTCACATAAGTACGGCCAGTTCTATGCGCGCCTGTATAGCTATTAAATGTATATAGAATATATAGTAGTAATCGCTCGACGCAGCGGTATTATGTCGGAAATATACTGGCCGCGTCGCGCCTTAAGCCGGTCCACCGTTTCGGTATTTAGTTTGTATGGGAAGTTTATTTTAGATTTTTTGAAGTGATAGATAGGGTTATGTAACAGATTTCTCCGGCAAAATGTAAAGTGTAGGGTAAGCTTTCCTTGTAGCTATATGGGGTTAGACTTAAGTTTCGAGAATAAAGAAAAAAAAATGAAGAATTTTTTTTAAAGTACCCCATAGAGTTTTTCAATCATTAAATAAATTTTACGAATTTACAGTAACATTTGTTTTTAAATAAAATTATATTTCCATTATTAATATTCACTCACGTTCGTAATGTATTCTAATGTCCATCTATTATAATCGAATAAAATGTGTATTTAAATCCTCAATCCGCTAAATACCAAGAAAAACATGTAAAATGAAAAATTGTATTTACAAATATTTACAGTTAAGCTATGCAGTACTGGTATAAGTTACTTTCTGCAAAAGACGATGTTATAATTATAAAATTGGTCAATTTACTGTTGCATATTTTTATAAGTATAAAATACATAATTTAATATTTCTAGTACACAAATGTTTGACTACTAGGTATACTAATTTGTGTTTGTAAATTTTGCCGCAACTAAGAAACCATGTCTCAATTTCCTTTATAACTTTGAGTAATGATCACATCGAGACTAAAAGAAAAACGATCTAAGTTGCTTTAATTTAATGATTTTTATGAAAAAATTGCATAAAGTGTTATTAATATCAAATAAAAAACAATACCCAAATTAAAACGAAACAACATTAGATGCTTCCTTATAATTTAACAGAAAGGTTTTTATTTTAATTATAAAGGGATGAATATTATTCTTAATTAATATTAATAATGAAGAAAATGTTGAAGTTATAATAACATTGTAAAATTAATTTTACGGCCTTATGACGAGTATGATCACATTTATAAAATATAGGTATTAAAATGTAATTATACTTAATTACACATTTTAAATAAATTATTGTGCTTTATACATATATTATATATACCAGTGAAACTAAATAAAAATATATATTCGTAATTATTTTTACCTATTTTTTAGAATGCCACAAAATGATACATCCTTCGAAAATATGTAACTGTCTAAACTCACATAAACGTTGCCCGTAATAGCAAATTCAAATTTCTCTATTCGCATAAGCGAAATAAACATGACTAGAGAAACCGGCTTAAGGCGCGCTGCGTCCCTCTGTCAGCTATAGCGTGGCCTTATAGATGGTTGTTTGCGCTCACAGAGTGCGGTGAACAGCGCTCACCGTCGCCGCCTCTGTGTGAGTGTGTACTGACGCGCGCACACAGTGGCTCCGAACGCACACACTGAACCGCCGTGTACGAGTGCGTTCCGAAACCGCTCTCTATTCTATCTATGCGAAGGCGTCGTATCGCCACGTATAGCGGGCACGCTCGGGGCGAGGAATTTAGAGGCGGGGGTCGTATCGTTAATTGTTATGAAGTTGATTTCGGTCCTGAAATTCCAAAATAGGCGTTTTGAAACGGCAAAAATTTTTTCTCAACTTCGATGTATCCAGCTTTTGAGCGAAAATTTTCGCCACGCGTTCCCCGCTCTGCTTAAATTTTGAAAATCTTTCTATTCGCCCAGGACTATTCATGTTCGGTCTCGTTGGATCTCGCGAACTCGATCGCGAACGCGATGCCAATTATCGTTCGATTCCGCTTAGAAGCGTTCGCGCGTTATCAACGCGAGCTGATAACGATGGAAATGGGACTGTCGTTTCCGCGACATAGGGTCTATTATTCTTACGCGCGAGACGATTTACGTCGGAGCGTCACAGGTTGTGCCGATCGCGAAACAAGTCCATGGCTAGCGCATTGAGTGACCACGCGAGGGTCTTGAGGTCATGGTAGTGGTGGCGTTATTGATGCCTGACATCATAAACTTAGTTCATTAGGCATATGGTTGAAAGTTGTTTAAGTTTCTAATAAATTGCGTGACTTATTTTTTTTAAAGACATTTCTATAATATTGAAACATTATTGTACTATATAACATATGCCAAACCTCATGGAAAAACTATGTGTTGTCATCCCCTATAATAATAACATAATGCACAGAGGTGCATTATGTTATTATTATAGGGGATTTTGAGTACCAACAGTAGAGGACCTATTTTTTCAAAACTATTTAGTAATTTTTCTACTTCAATGTGCCATAAAGAATTCAAGAAGCTTAAAAACTTCCGACTTTTAAAGACACGTATATTTTAAGTAAATACCTAAAATATTCGCCAACCAGCCTTCATAGTATTGTAAAGTTAGGTAGAGCTGTTTCTACACTGTTGCAAAAAATAATTTCTATCATTACATATTTTGATATTCCTTGAATCAAACCGAATTTATAATGGGCGAATGGTAATAAAATTAGATTTTAAAAAGAAAACCCGAAAGAAACTGCAACATGGAGCATTTCAAATTTCCCGCCAGATTCAAACTACGACAAGACATCACATACCTACAACGCGTGAAACAATTCTTACTACGCCACATGGTACTGGCAATATTGTTGAATTCAAAATTTTTTCTGTTTCGTGTTCATTGCGCAGTGCCTCGTCGTCGGTTGAGTCATTGACATGCGACGCGTAAGCTACAGCCGAACATTAAACTGTTTTAAAGAAACGCTCATGCGATTATCGTCTTTAAAATCAAGGCTTAATGCTTAGGTTTGAATAGATGTCAACCGCAATAGCAGTAGCATAGCTCTCAGATATGTTGCCAGTAACATATGGCATACAACCTCTCCACACTACGCAGTACCCCTGTAACTGCGTGAATATCGCACAATACATTGTACGCCTCTAATCAACGTTGCCTGTAAAACGGTACCTGAATCGAAATGGACGTAACAGAACCGATATAAGCCCTCATTGTCTTTAGCATAAAAATTCTTTAGATTACCGTAGCTTCAGACTTAATACTGTCATATCCTCTATAATTATTTTCGATCAATTTATTATTAATAATAGTCAATACGACGCCAAATTCGAAATATTAATAATACATTTGCAGTTATTCACATACGCCTAAAAAATGTGGAATTATAATAAGTAAATTATAAATATTTATCACAAACATTAATTACAACGTGAGCGATGGCAATTTTAAAAATGGCCGCCCCATAACGTTACGTTCAAAAACGAAAGGCCGCGCGCCACAGTGAATACATGTCGCGGCGCAGCGCAGGCAGGTCGACGTCATGGTCGGATGCTTGTGAAATTTTCCCGTTGGTGCGGGCTCGATGCTCATCCGCTCTAGCCGGCTCTAGAGCCAGGTCGAGCCAGTCAAGCTGAGTCAAGTCGGGGCCGTAATCGCGACGAAAGAATACCCGCTTCGTTCGCCGCCGAGCGCCTGACAGTCGCCCGTGCCGCCACAGAGTATAAACGACGAAGGTCCGCCTGAACGGCTTTTGGCACAATTTGAAACTCGAGTCGAACGTCACTATTGAGTGATGGTCGATTTTTAATTGTATCTATGACACTTGATAATACGAATACGATTTGTCGAAATTTTAGTTTTATTGATTTGTTACTTTATTTAACTTAATGTTTAATGGACACAATAAAAAATATTTCCCCAAAAAAATTTAGTTCCAAAAAGGGCTTAATAATGTTATAAAATAATAAAAATGTCGAAGCCTTTCATTTTCGTTTAATTAAATAAGAAATATGTATATAATTGGTATGGACATGGATTTATAAATATTTTTAAGCAGATAAATTAATAAAAAATTCTAAGTGCTTTTATAAATATCTAAGAAGAAAACATTTTTATTGACATAAATTTACATATGGTAGATTCAGAAATTGTATTTCATTTTCATATAAGGCAGAGAGCCTTTTATTTTAGAATTTACTGATTTCAGGTATTTAACTTTCAACTTGTTTTGGTGTCTTCGTTAACTTTTATCTGTTAATATTTTCGTCCTTAAACGTCCTGAACGACAGTAAAGCTAAAGACCTGCAAAAAATTAACCTATTTGCGAATGGAATATACTTATGTTTACAACTATTGTCTTCAAAGGGGCCTTTAATGTTTTTATTAAAGAAACAAAAGTTTTGGAGGAACTTAACTTATTTTTGAAAAGCACATATAACACTTGTAATATTTGCGTGAGTTCAATGATTTTCCTTGTACAAAAAATAAATATATCCAGATACGCGTCGTTAACTCTAACTGCACAATAATTTCCTATTTGTAAAGTAATAATAATTATAAATTAGCATACAGAATTAATTGCAGTCAGTTTGTTTTGTTAAAAAGTCTTCGAATGTCGAAAGAATCCTTTACGCGGGCTATACTCTGTGACGCGATGCGGAGCGAGCCGCTAGGTGGCAGCACATAGCTCGCTATTCACAGCGTATATTATTTACCGCGTATATATGTCGTTATATAAGCGAACAGAAAGCTACGTAGACGCTTGGTTGCGGCGGGGGGATGCGGGGGCCGTCGGGGGCGGAGGCCCACGCGGACAGAGCTCGCCCACGCACACAGCCGAAGCGCGCCAAGTCTGCACGAGGCGAACGAGCGAGCGCGCCAACCGACCGACTCGGCGTATTCTTATTATTATGAAAGGAGAAACGCTTTTTGTAGGGCAAGAACTAAATTTGTAGTACCATTACCGCCGCTGCCGATAATAAAGTACGTAAACGCATTTCGGCTCGCTGAAGTTTGTTGCGTCGCTCATAGATGTCGCGTTTCCTTTCGCTTTCCGTTATAGGTATTAGCGCTTCCAATTTCCTTAGCGCGAACTGAGTGTCACCTTACTTCAGTTTTACGAGTAGAAATGTTTAATAAAACTATAAAATGGAATACCACTGTAGCAAATACGATTATACCACTGTATGGTACACGGTAGACTTAAAATATAATCAGCTTTTATAATTAATAATAACATTCTCTCACCGTTACGTTCATTTGAAACAAGATTGTTTTAAAATCTTAATACTGTCATAGCTAATACATGGTTAATAGTGAATATAAACGCTTATGTATGTAACATTGATGAAGTTGACTTTACCTTCCAAGATTAAAAATAAAACTACATACATACCATTATGGAATGGTCTTATACGTGGTAGTATACGGGAGTTTGTTTTCTTTTAAATAATTTTGGTGTTTATATCTACTTAATTAAGTTTAATTATTATAAAAATATAAGATAAGAAATGCCTAGTGATTTTATACAAAGAGGTAAGTAAGGAGTACTTATTATCGCCGTAACACACGAGGTGGCGCCGAGTCGCGTGACGTCATCCATGTCACCCGGCTCCGTGCTAGCGATAAACTATATCTAGTTGGTCAATATTAATTCACGCCAATTTAATCCTTAAGTGAATTGAATACAGGGCATAATAGCGTCCAATAGCGCAGTGGAAATTTTTGACTGTGCAACAACTTTGATTTTGTGTTGAGTTGAAACAACACAATTCTTCCATGAGAAATGGCAAAAGCAGAGATGGCGCAAGCGAGCTTAATTTAAGTAAAGTCAAGAGAAAAATGACACTAGCGCTTGCGCGTTAGAGTCTCATACCTTTTATGTCTTGTTTGTTCAGCAAAACTTGTAATATTGCTCGGAATTATATAGTAAAAGTAATGAATCACTTTATTATACATTTATTTTTACTGAGTATTGTTAAGGCTTTTTAAACTTGAAAATAAGACAGAACAGATTGATAATACCCGCCAAATATACAGAGCTCGACCTCCTACTTGCGCAAGGTATAAAATTAGGGTTGTCGATTTTTTGTGAAACTTTCAACAGTAGACTCGTGAAATTTAAATAACTATCATTAAAATATACCTTTATCTTCTTTCTTGGACTATATTTTTATAGTTGCCAATAGGCGAGTTCGTTTTCGTGCTAGGATTTGAAATAAAAGATCTGATAGTATGCTTCATTTTTTTGTCAATTATTATACATTTACTTCATATATAGGTAGTACTTGTAGAATTTTGCATTCGATTGGATAGAGAGGTAAGAGTATGAGTTGCGATCTGAATGATCAGATGCTACGAGTTCAACTGTCTCTATTATACCTGTATATTATATTGTACCCTGATATTTTTGAAAAAGAGCAACTGTTGAGTTTCTTGCCGGTCTCTTCTCAACAGAAACCGCTTTCCGAACCGGTGGTACCTTACGAACCTATACACATAATCTTTGATGTAAAATTTGACGATTCATAAGAGCGCGCAAGCGTCTATTTGAATAAATATATTTTTTATTTTGATTTTGATTAAAATAAAAGTGACGACCTTAATGACGTAGTGGGTTCGATACCCACTACTGGAAAAATATTGTGTTATAAACATAGTGTTTTTCTAGTGTTCGGGAGTTTATTAATAATTAAAATTTGAGTTTGAAATTTTATTTGAATTGAGTTAAAATATTTATTTATTAATAATTAAATGTACGAAATGTATGTTTTATATTTACATTTCTGACTATTTAAGGTGATTTTTTTTGTATTTGTATAAGTGATGTTACGCTTTCAGTCCTTAGACTATTATTAAAGCTTCATCGAACACAGAACCGGTGGGCCAGAACTCACGGGTTTGTGGCCCTCCTCAGTGGGTAGAGCCGCGCATGTATTGATGCGTGCGTTAATTATGACATGTCGCCTACGGGCCATCGAGGTGCGGACCGTGACCCCGATGGATATTGACTGTGCTTGGTTAGTCGGTGGCTGGGGGCGGTGAGAACCACCCTGGAACGCGGTGTCGGTGATATTAAGTTCACCAGTGGTCACTTTAAGAATAGATTAAGATTATGGCAATTTTGAATGCATAAGCCGTTAAGGCTTTGAGTTTAAGATTTTGAGATTATTATAAAAACCTAACCGATGAAATAAATAATGGTCCAATTCAACTGCTTATACCTATTACAATCTTTATACTATGAAAAAGCTTTTTATAAAAGATATAAAATGTATTCATTAATTTCACTCTTGCACGCCGTGACGTCATTTATTTTTTCACATTGACCCGACAACCCTGCGTGGAACTGGGGCAGACTGCAGCGCTCATTACGCTGTGCGGTCTATAGCGTCGGCTTGTTTGCTCGAGCGAAATTCATAATACTGTTCTAAAATCGAACTTAATAAGACACGCCATTAAATTAGAGAAACGCGTCCGAGTGCAGCGGTGACGTCGCATCGAATGACTTCGATTTCTAATTTAGTATGTGGCGACATCTATTAATTACAACGAGGAGGTATCGCGCGGATTGTCAAGTATTCCATATAGGGTGGCGTTCTGGTCGCAGCTCATGGCTCCACGTTTGACACCGACCTGGACACATAGTATTGTAGCAATTTTTTCTGTAGCTTTGTTGGATTTAGAGTAGAATCGGGCCTAGAGTATGGGGTATGACATGCAACATCTGGTGGAAAGTGATATTGTGGATACAGCGAACTATTGTTGAATTAACTTTAATCAAGACTCAGTCAGCGACTCGACAGTCGGTGGGCTATCTAGGATTATGGATATCATTTAACAAAAAATAAATGCTCATCACTGGCATCATTCGAATAATTGAATAATATTGCAAGGTAGTCTAACCACTGCAAATTATGCTTTGCTGATAAACTTAGGTAAATTAAAAGTAGATTTTTAAATGAAAGGAATATATGTATAAAATGAAAATAGGACGTTAGAGCTTTATAAAAACTCTACTTTAAACTCTACTTAAGAAATCCACATCTTTCTTAAATACTTCGAGATGAACTTAATGTATATATTATACTTTGCAAAACATTATCAGTAAGGAACGACTAATAAGGTTTTTAGTTTAGATATCAAAGAGTCATTCTGAGTAGTGTTCAAAATGATATAGGTACTTATTATAAATAATTGTCCAAACTATGCAGACGATAATAGGTGAGGGTAAGGGGTTGCAGTTGTAGGTAAAAACCGAGAATAACTTCGATTTAATGAAATTAAAATGGGTTTAGTTATTCCTATTATAGAGGAAGTTTGGTGGAAAATTGTAGGAAATTCGTTACTAATTAAATATAGTCCGTTAGGCATACAATTTCTTCAGTCGCGTTTGCAAGTTACCTCATTGTAAAATATATTCTGTATGGACGTTTGTAAAAGAATTTGGATTTAAACTTGCACCTAGATCCGGAACTGTCTGAACTGTTTAATTTTTTTACAGTGATAATCGTAGGATACGCCGTGCCCAAGTTTATTTCTTATTTACCGAATCATCACACCCATATGTATAAAATTCTAGTTGTTCATGTATGTGAGTGATATTTTGTTCCAATATCCCTATGGAACCCACAACGGCTGAACTGTTATTGATGATATTTCAGGCAACCTTCAGATTACGAAAGCTGGCGAGCGAATCAAATAATTTTTTTCCTTTTTTTTGGATAATTGGTGTACAAGGTCGAAGCCGGGGCGGGTCGGTAGTTGTCAAATAAAACTATGACGTATTATTCTTCCTCGACCTTCCGTACAATACAGCGTCCGTGAACAACATACAGAATGAGGTACTAACAAGCCTAAAGTTTTCGAAAAATTATTACAGTATTTATTTATTATAAACAGAATCCCAGTTTAATAACGGTCGATTTTAACATATAAATAAACGTTGTGTTATTGATATTGTAAATTACATGACTATCTATCTCATGTCAAAACGGATGCCCGATTTCGTTCGCGTAATACTCACCTTTCGCGTCTCTCCTAATGAGTGCAATGAAAGAAAGCATGAGCTATCTCCGTCTGTTCTGTTTATTTTAAGAGACACCAAGAAAAAAGAGAAAGAAGCTGATGAAATCACCTTCCATTATCTTCTCTTTCTCGCTGACATTTTAACTCATAACACCAAATATATTACCGGCGTGTTGTGCCATTGAGCGTGTACGTTTTCAGGCTACCTACGGCCTCCAGTCTTAAATTTTGGTGGCGATATTCCTAACATTTATCATTATTCTTCTTTTTCCTGCCTTTATCACACCTTTCTGGGGTCGGCATAACTTGTGAATGAAATTTTCAATGTTATTGAGTAGGTTTATTAGACCGGCCATTCATGACATTGAACATTCTAGAATAAAAATCTAATATGGACATGAGTAAAGTCGAAGCGTTTAAGTTTTGTGTGCATGATTGAGGTAATCGGGGCCTTCCTTCTTAAATGTTGACTACTCAACTGCAACCCTACTGGTATGGTGGACTATAATGGTAATCATTTATTATCAGGTAAACCACCTACTCGCTTGCCACCTTCTCAGAAAACAACAGGACATCTTTATTACATGAAAGATTTTTACTTGCTATTTTAAGATAAAAAAATAACATGTAGTTTACGCGTATGTATTCACAGAAATATTCATGTAACAAGCTATATATTACATTTAAAAAACATGAAGTAAATGAGAATATATACATATTTAGTTGTTATATCTACTGTTGTATCTATCGGATAATATTTTATATCATGTTTAATATTCGACGAGTGATTTTGGGATTCATGTAGGATTGAAACTCACGATACAAGACATGCCTAGTGTGATGTCAACAATAAGTTATGCCTTGCCGAAAATTTGTATTGTAGTCCTAATGATTCTGTCACTTTTTAAAATTTTATTTTTGTTTCTGTTATAACTATTTTTATTTTATGTAATGTGCACACGATTTTTGGTTCCTACGAAGATGCCTATTTCAATATGTTTTCCTTTTGTCTTCGAGCACTTGATAATAATCAGCACAGAAAATGCAATTAACGATTTTATTGGTGCCGGAACCAGGATTTGAACCCGTTTTGCTATCTATATTGAATTAGAGTGCCTACATGTATGGATTAAATCAGACGAAAATCGGGGACGAGGTCTCATTTGAGGCAGCAGTTGCCGTTCCTTTTATCAAATTTGCAAATTTTTTTAGTCTGTTGACAATAGGATCGG